GTCTTAAACAGGTCTACAAAGTCAATGAGTTGGAAACAATTTGATTCGTTTATCGGATGCAATTATAATGGTTGTATAAATATAAATATGTTGCAGGCAGACTGAGATAATCGAGAAAAATCAAACGAATCGATCTCTCGAACTCATAAACTATAACTAACAGCAGTTAATTCAACTAAATTGGACCGACTTAGAGCCGGTTTTAGCTTCAGGGCTGTGCTTAAAAAAAAATATATCTGAGTGTAGTCTATTGAGATGTAATGAACTGTGATTTGATTGTGGCTGCGATTGAGGTCTCTTCAATGTCAGCAAAGCGATTGGAAATAAAAAATGCTGCATTTGAATAGATTATTTGCATGAGTTGGAGTAAGGTTTGTCAACACGGTGCCAAAATTTATTTAAACGAACGTTTTAAATTAATTAAGAAGCGCAATTAAATTTGCATCGCTCGCGGGGAAAACTTGGCCAACGAAACTCGTTTGGCGGCTTTGAAATACGTTTGCAGAGTCGAGCAGAGCACGAAACAAATGTTCAAAGCCGTAAAAAACACGCCAAAAGTGTTCGTTTCGTTGGGATTAGCCACACAATGGCAGCTCAAATGATTATAAATTATTTATGACGGCTTAAATGTCAAGAGCTATAGCTTACCACCCACAAAAGAAAACCAAATGACACTTTACAATTCGGATTCTGATTTCTGGTAGATTGAGAAAAATGTTTCAATTATGTTGCAAGTCGCCGAAGTTAAACATTTAGTTTAGGCCATTAATTGCTCAGCCCGCTGTCCATTTGCCGGGTATCGAGTCTGGGGCTTGGCCCATTCACTGTGCTTGAATGAGTGCACTTTGGGTTGACATGAATCGTTGCAACAGCCACAATGGAGTGCACTTTTAATGGCAACAGGCGCAACACAGAATGCCGGAAGCGCATTGCACAATTACAACAACAACAATAAAACAAACAAACAGAAATGAGCGCAGTTTTTCAGTTGCAACGGAAGTTTAATGAAATTTTTGCACAATCGAAAATTGAAATGCATAGGAAAGCGAAATAAACTGTAATTAACTGGCAACTCTCGAGTATAGGGCCTATTCGGGCTCTATATAGCTTTTATAGGTGGGTAGGTACTCGTTTATTCCACATGAATTTGCATACACACATCAGTATAATAATCACCGAGTCTCAGCGGCGTCCGAGCAGGGTCAGGGAAAGACACTACGCGGCGAATGTGATTCGCAAATGCACTCGCATTCCCATTCACATTCACAATCATATTCCTGGCTACGCATCACAATGCACTACAATTAGGGGTGGCTGGATGGATTGTTGGCAGGATGCGGCGACTACTGAGAGTGATAAATATTTTGCGCCTGAATGACAGTCCATAAAGAAAGAGAGAGAGAGAGAGAGGGGGGGAGAGCTGCCAATGGATGGGATCATTCACGCTGTCGCTGCTCTATTGATAATGGTTATGTGTTCAATCAAGGACTTGTAACACTGATTAGCAGGACGCATCCTTTGAGTGGCCAACGGACTGTACTGCACGGCACAAGTGACAGCTGTTGGATTTGCTGTAAGCAGCGTTCATTTGCCGCTTACATGCCGTCGCCCTTCAGGCCCCTTTGATTGATGACGTTGACAAGTTGTCCGGCTGCTGCTGCTCGGCTGACTGCAGCCACCCTGCAACTCTTTTCCAACACTGACACATGCTCTGTAAAGGGTTACAATGGCAAAGTCAACGCACGGATTCAACAGCTTACGAAATTACCATACACGGCAATCGTTGCGCCCCGGGCCCAAGCTCCGGCTAAGTCCTGGGCTGCTTGAGGTAAGCTCTCGGTTTGGGTATCGCGTTCCATTCTTGTGCATAATGCATTTTCACAGCGGTACACCACCACCCTACCCTTAAAATACTTACCCGAAATAATACGTAAATGTAAAGGAAAGTGGGCGTTGTAATGTTGACACTGTAATTTACGCATTTCACCTTTTATGCGACACGCAAATTTGCATAACGCATCCAACTTCAATAGCAAAAGGGCTGTCGCGAGGTAACTTGATAGGGCCATGGTGCATAATTTACCTTCATATGCGTGTATACGAATGCAACTACAATTGCTCAAAAAAATAGTGGCTTTTTATATACCTTTTGGCTTGGAGTACAGTCATGATGCTTTATACGCTTCAAAAATATTAAGACGCTTTATACATATCTTTGGTACAACCTATCCTGGAGAATACCTCATGTTTCTGGTCGCCACAAAATGCATTTCATCAAGACAGAATTAAATCTATACAGAAACAAATCTTGTTGTTTGCCCTTCGTTGTTTAAGTTGGGATCCTCGTGTGCGGTTACCGTCATGCTCCAGTAGACTTCTGATGAAAAATCTTCCTTCTATAATTAATCGTAGATCCATGCTTGGTGCATTATTTATTCATGTGGTAATTACAGGTGAAATCGACTCTTCTTCTAGGTTGACTAGCCGATTATACTTCTCTATGCCTACGCCTATGCGACTAACTCGTAATTTTACACCTTTAACTGCATGAAACGTACAGGGTCCTCTGTGATAATTTTAAGCATTATAGAGTATTCTGCTCGAAGTACTCTCCTCCTCTTATAAAGTCTATTCTAAATTATTTAGCAAGTAGATAGTCTGGGAAAATATAGAATAAAATAAATAATATAAGCCTTTGTAGCTGAATAAAGATCTTAGAAAGCACTTATATCAATGCCAATCTCGAAGGATGCGGTTATAAGAACACAGCTGGTAAACGTTTCAAGTTAAGACAATCATTGCCTATTTAATTATCATATAAATATATATATTTCTTATATATCTTTTTTAGATTCATTCAGATTCATTATATGATACTATTTTTTAATTAATGGTAACATTTTTATTTATTAAGTGCCCGTCCAGTTAACATAACATTTAACTTACAATAAATAATTTTCTTATTTATTTTATTTTTTCAATTTTATTGGTTTAATTTCTAACAATTCAAATGACTCGCTCTAAAGAAGTTCGTCTATCAGATTCCCTCATATTAACCCTGAAAATGTACAAATAAATCCAATAAATTGGGATCTTTTGTATTGTCAGCTCAGATCAAACAATTAAGTTACATGCCTTGCCTTCCCACGTAACAGATACAGATACATGGCCACCCAAAGACGAGTTTTTTTTATTTGCTTACAAGTTAGCATAACAAATTGCTGCTTGAAAGTACACACTTACACCTAGCCGACATTTGGAACATTTCCAGAACCGACTTGTCTTAATTAGTCGAACAAAAGAAATGCAGACAGCAGCAGCAGAGGCAACCTTCCTACCAGCTCGACAGCTGCTGCTGCTGCTGCTGGTTCCATTTCCAAGGCAATTGCTGATGCTAGATAATGCTTGGCTTGGCATCAGCAGACATAAAATTAATGTAGATAGCATTAACACGTCTTCAAATTGGCTAACGCCCCTCACTGGAACTGCGTCTCGTACATGCGGCCAACTGTTCAAACAGCCCCCGAGCAACGCAATTATATCAGCCGACGACGAAACGTTGCCGAGCTGTGCAGAGCTGTAGATCTTATCATCGGTTTTAGCGAGGCGCGTTGCTCATGCCTCTTTAGCTCAGTGGCAGAGCACTGGTCTTGTAAACCAGGGGTCGTGAGTTCAATCCTCACAGGAGGCAATTCTTCAACTATCATTTTTTTATACATATTACTCCTAATATGTGGATAAATCAAAAAAAAAAAAATTAAAAATCAAAATGTTTTAAATACTCTACAAATATTATATTTTCTAAAATAGCATGAATTAACAGAATTACCAAACGACATAATGAATATCCCAAATGTAAATTTATTTGTTAATATATAACTATTTATTTATTATTTATTTATTTATTTTTCTAAAAATTGCTTACCTTTCCAAGATTGTCATCCATCTGCTTTTCTGTTTCAATAAAATCTTGTATCTGAAGCTATCTGTATGCCAATCGCTTAAAACTGTACATATTATATGTACTCATTACAAATACATATATACCTTGAATAGTAACAGCCAGTCAAAAATGCATTGTGTCGCTAAGATAAAAGTATTTTCCGTTGCCAGTTTTTTAATTGGCTATTCAAAGTTGTAGTTTATTTTCACTAATTTAGCTTGATTTCCCAATACTCTAAAATGAATACAAATACTTTAACATAATAGGGAATTAACGTACAATATGTATTAGTGTCACCCTAATTTTTCTTCATTTTCTCCAAGATGTACAACAGAATATTAGGCATTTGCGCTAGTTTAATACATTTTATAGTTACATAGTAATCTTGTAATGTAAATCAAAATTAAAAATAAAAATACAATAAAAATTTGACGAAGCTGCGAGACTTTTATAACTATGCCTCCTGTGAGGATTGAACTCACGACCCCTGGTTTACAAGACCAGTGCTCTGCCACTGAGCTAAAGAGGCGAATAGTGCTCACGCGCCAAATAACTGGCATCATATAGAGAGAGAGAGGCTACCCATAATTTGGTGGCTAATTTTAGCGAGTTTTTAATAATATTAACTGTGTTCTTATGTTATTTCGTGTATGAACAACTGTTCACCTTCTCAGGGTGGCGGGGGGAAATTCCGATAAGCGCTGTTGCGGTGCTTTCTATTCCTCACTGTGCGTTGCCGGCTGTTTGAAAAACAACGTGAAGAGTATCGAAAAGTGCTTCGAAAATTTGTTTGTAAACAAATGTAGCTTCGTCTAGCCGAATCTTGCTCTTTGTATCTCGCAATCGCGCTCATGCTCGGGTGTTCTGAATAGCATTCTTTTTCGATCTAAAAATAAAAGGCCCGTCCGTTTTCTGGATACCACACGTTGTGCCTATTATTTGGCCTGTTCAGTGCGATTGCAGTATTCATCGGCGATAGAAGCGAATCGGAAATTTTCACTACTTGCATAATTTATGAATTTTATCTGATTTTCAATTAGAAAATTGAGTTAACGCCATGAAAATGCCACTTAGCCAGCAGAAAGGCTTCTTTGCCGAGTACTACCTCAAGCTGAGGGAAGCGGGCGGCGCCAGCTGCGAGCCGGACATCGCCAAATTGTCAACATGTGGCAACGACGACGAGCGCGTGGCCTACGTGGACCAGCTGGCCTGGGTGCGTGCGGGGGATGCGGAGCTGCAAGTGCAGCGCGAGTTCAGCGGAAAAAATGCAACCGCCGCCGCGGAGCTGAAGGAACGTGCCACGGCCGCCTTCAAGCAGAAGAAGTGGCTGGAGGCCATGTTGCTCTACAGCCGGAGCTATGTAGCGCTGCCGACTGACAAGGGTGAGTAGCTGTATCCACCTTGTGGGCCACTCATCAATTAAGCATTCCGTGCACACCAGTCCAGGAGCGTTCCATTGCGCTGGCCAATCGCTCGGCCACGCTGTACCACATGCAGAAGCACAGCGAGTGCCTGGTGGATATCAGACGCGCCCTGGAGCTGGAGTATCCCAAGGAGCTCATCTACAAGCTGTACGAGCGCCAGGCTCGCTGTTACATGGCTCTGAAGGACTATCCACGCACGATCAGCGCCTTCAAGTGGGTGATACGGCCGTTTCCACAAAAGCTCTCCTAATATTTGGTTTTACTTGCAGAAAGTGCATCACTGCCATGGACGATTCTGCGCTGCCCGCCGACAGACGCTCCAAGCTGCATCTGGATGCCATGACCATGATCAAGATGCTGGAGCACGATCCGCGCACGGGCAAGCAAGCAGCCAGGCAGGCAAAGCTGAAGAACGCCAACGTCTTGGAGCAGGCACAAACGTTGCCGGAGGAAAAGGAATTTGTCAGCTCCCTGGTGCGCATCGATCAGAACGCGCAGGAGGGACGATTCGCTCGCGCCGCTGCCGATGTTCAGGTGGGGCAGGAGCTGCTAGTGGAGCATCCTTATGTCGCCGTGCTGCTCGAGAAATTCGCCCAGACTCATTGCGAATATTGCTTTGTCCGGTAAGTGAATGTTCAGATAGAAAATAAATTTACCTGCCTAAATATATTATATATTATATATTATATATTATATATTATATATTATATATTATATATTATATATTATATATTATATATTATATATTATATATTATATATTATATATTATATATTATATATTATATATTATATATTATATATTATATATTATATATTATATATTATATATTATATATTATATATTATATATTATATATTATATATTATATATTATTTTTTATGCAAGTTTTGTTGGTCACACTTGTTTCTTGCCTATTTTTCAGAACCGTGGTGCCAGTGGCCTGTCCGGGCTGCTCGGATGTCGTCTACTGCTCGGAGCAGTGCCAGGAGCGTGCTTCGGCCAAGTACCACAAGTACGAGTGCGGCATATTGCCGGTGATTTGGCGATCCGGAGCCTCCGTCAACAATCACATGGCTCTGCGCATCATTGCCAGTAAGCCGCTGGACTACTTTCTGCAGCTGAAGTCGACCCTTGACGAGGAGCTGATGCTGGAGCAGCTTTTGGGGTGGGCATAGACACAGTTGCCACGAATTCCAAATCTATTCTTGTGCGTCTTTGCAGCCTGCCCAAGGACGACTTTCGGCGCGTGGCCCACTTGGAGCGCCATGAGAGGCAGCGGCAGCCGTCGAACTTCTTTCAGTATGTGCTGATGGCGCGCTTTCTGACCAAGTGCCTGCAGTCGGCGGGCTACTTCGGCAGCGAGCCGCAGCCGGAGCAGGTGAGCGCCATTAGCGCGCTGCTGCTGCGGAGTCTGCAGTTCATTCAGTTCAACACCCACGAGGTGGCCGAGCTGCACAAGTTCCAGGCCGAAGGCAGGGAGAAATCCATCTTCATTGGCGGAGCCATATACCCGACGCTGGCGCTGTTCAATCACTCCTGCGACCCGGGCGTGGTCAGGTACTTTCGGGGCACCACCATCCACATCAACAGCGTGCGGCCCATCGAGGCGGGCCTGCCCATTAACGAGAACTACGGACCCATCTACACGCAGGACAGGCGCGAAGACCGTCAGGCCAGGCTAAAGGATCTCTATTGGTTCGAGTGCAACTGCGACGCCTGTCTGGAAAGCTGGCCGCTGTTCGACGAGCTGCCCAGGGACATTATACGCTTCCGTTGCGAGGCGCCCAACAACTGTGCGGCCATCATTGAGGTGCCGCCCACCTGCAACGATTTCATGATCAAGTGCGTCACCTGCGGCGAGATCACCAACATCCTGAAGGGTCTCAAGGTCATGCAGGACACCGAAATGATGACGCGCACCGCCAAGCGGCTCTACGATACCGGCGACTACTCGAAGGCGCTCAACAAATTCGTGGACCTCCTGCGGATCATGTACGAGGTGTTGGCACCTCCATTCCCCGACTTCTGCGAGTGCCAGCAGCATTTGAAGGATTGTTTCCTCAACCTGGGCAATGTCTACAATCTGAACTAACCCTACTTTAAGTCAGATCATAGTTCGAGCATTAGAACCGTAGGGAATGTGAAATCCAATAAATAAAATACTCAATCGCATAGCTAGAGTCTAGCGAATACCCGTAACTTTTAATGAATATTTATTTTTATATACATATATTTTTTAAGTTGCTGAAAAGTGCGACAAATTTAAGCGATGTTGGATTAGTTAATCATCCAGCTCTCCCTCTCGCTCCCTCTTTCGATTAGGGGTAATACCCATTTGCTAAGATTAGGTCTCCCAGCTGTCATAGTTTATATTGCTACAGCGTCCACTGTGCAGCTTGCTGCAGCCGGCAAACCCACTGTCGCCGTAGTAACAGCAGCGATAACAGGTTGTCGTTGGCAGCCAGCTGGAGTCTGCGAAATCGAATCGGAATATACATATGTAATTGGGTTGGGCTCTGACCCGCGATATCGCTCGCGCTCTACTTACATCCGCAGGTCCAGCGGTAATGCGTCCGCTCCTCCTGCTCCGTCAGATAGCAGCGCTGCAGCATACCTTGAACCACGTCCCAGAACCAGGGAAAAAAGTTGGGGTAATGTGGTGCTACTGGCGGCCTCGTAGAGGGAGGTAGCTCTGGCGGTGCAAAGGTCGGCAAGTCCGGCAAGCTGATCTCCACATCCTCGGTGGTGCTGCTGGTGGTGCTGGGTATTGTAGTAGTGGTTGTAGGTGCTTCTGTGTCTGCTTCAGTTGTGGTTCGTGCTGGTGTGGTGGTGGGCAGCTCTGTTGTTGTGGTTGTTGTGGTTGTGGGAGCCTCGGTTGTGGTTGTGGGAGCCTCGGTTGTGGTTGTGGGAAAGTCCTCTGGGAATTCGGGCTCAATGTCTTGTCCGTGCACTTGGCCGTGCATCATCAGCCAGAGCAGGCACAACAATTGCAACTTAATCTTGGTTGGCATTTTACAAAGTCAATTGTTCGTGCTGTCGTGTGCTGCTCGCTTTTCAGACTGATCCCGTGTCGAGCCACGGGCCGGGCATCAACTGTCGACGTCGCTGCTGCCGCCGCTGCCTGTTTTAGTCGGCAGTGCAAATTGTATTAAAATTTACTTATGCCATTCGTGGAAAACGTATGAGTAATTTGTTTTGAACTCTGTTCTTGGCGTAGTGCGGCGACTCGCTTAAGTTACAAAAGCTATGGCGCATTTCTCGAAGTGTAGCACTCATTAATGGCTGTGTGGCAGTGCGGGGCAAGGGGAATAGCAAGGGGAAGTATTCGGCTTATCAGCAGTGAAACGCAAAAGCGAGTACCGCTTGAATTGCTTACCTGCGGGTGGATGAGCACGCGTGCGCGACTTACCTTGTAACATATTTATTGTCGCTTTTTTAATAGAGTTAATATTGTGGTTTCTGTTGTTGTTGTTGTTGCTGTTGCTGTTGTTGTTGCTGTTGTTGCCTGCACCCGCATAATGCCGCCAGCAAACGCTGATGACGCAAAGAACTTTTGCTTTCAATAATATTCCGAATGAATGAATGAATGCAACAAGCCTCATATGCAAATCGAACTGCTATTGAACTTCAATTAGCACGTAATCCCATCAAGGGATATTTACGTTTCATGCATTGTGGAATAAGCTGCAAAAGGTCACAATTACATTTTGTTTACCATTTGCAATATGTAAAGTATATAAAGTCAAGTACAGTAGGGCCTGGCATAATTAAACATAGGAGCCTGGCAAAAGAGAATGGAAACATAAATTACAATAAAATTATCTCGGGTGGAAACAGTAAGATTTTTAGAGTTTAACGCGCCCAATCTGCCCGATATCGGGCTTTTTTTGGCCGAGAAATAGCCATTTATAGCCGTTTGTAGCGTTTTTTGAAATTAAAATTAAAATTGAAATACTGCAAAAGGTCACAATTACATTTTGTTTACCATTTGCCATATGTAAATTAAGTACATAATACATCTTTGGACTTTTTAAAACTCAAATGACGCTTTTTTTGGCCGAGAAATAGCCATCTATAGCCGTTTGTAGCGGTTTTTAGCAGAATTTTAGTAGTAAGTACTGCATACTTTCGTGCTGTCTGCGTTTTGACTTATTTTTGAAATTAAATTTAAAATATCTCGAGTACCATATGTCCGATTTCGAAATGATATACCTCTTTTTTCTCGTACGGATCCCGACTAACGATTGACACCAACAAATCTCAATTCTAACAAATGGCCCGATTTGAGGAAAACTACTATTTTTTTTGCAAAAATTTTGATGTTTGCTGAAAATGGCTGTGACCACGAGTCGAACGAGACCAATCTTTCCAAGATCGGGGCTTATTTGGCCGAATTACAGCCATTTGAAAAACGCGAAAAAATGCCGTTATAATTTTGAAGATTTTTCGTTTTCGATAATTCGGCTAAAAATGGTCCGATTTTGGAAAGATATACCTTTTTAAACTCGTACGGATCTCTGTAATCGACTGGCATACCACGTTTTTTGATTTTGTTCGGAAATCCCAAAATTTGTGAAAAAATGTGTTTTTTTGCTATTTTTATGCGCGGACCAAAAGTATGCAGCAGAACTCAAGGAACTCTAATAGCTCAAATCGTATTCTGCAGACAGCACGAAAGTTTGCAGTACTTACTACTAAAATTCGGCTAAAAACCGCTACAAACGCCTATAAATGGCTATTTCTCGGCCAAAAGAAAGCCCGATATCGGTCAGATGGGCACGAATGTTTTTTTGGAAATGGCGATATCTCGGCTAAATAAAGCCCGATTTCGGAGCGATATACATATATATATATATAATACCTCTTTCTACTCGCACGGGCCAAGACAAACCATAATTTTTCTTTTCACAGATTCGTTGCATTCTATATATTTTTTTTAGCGATATAAAAACAAAATAAATTCAAACATTATACACACATCATTTAGTCTTTCTAGAGATCAATCTCCCACGCAAGCTGTGTGAGGCATACATCGATATCCGCAATCCTCTTTCCTCTATCTGGAATCTCTAGCTATCAATCAATAGTATAAATATAGTTTATACGAACTGACGAAGAAACAGCAGAACCCTAATCGAATATTATCTATTTCGATTGAACAGATTGAAGAAATGCGTATTGGATACTTCTTAACAAAAACGTAGTTCTCTTTTGATATACAAAAACATATACGCTTTTTTATCCAATACTGTGTCTATTAATAAAACAATGTTAAAGAAATTGTTTACTTGTTGAATACATAAATGATGATAAATAAATGAATAAATGATAAAATGAATAATTTTAACTTACTATAAACAAAAACTTGTTTCATAAATTGAAAGTCTATATATAGCCTATTACTATATAGGGTAGAGTCTATAGAATTGATATTTATAAAGAGGAAAAACATTTTCACTAAATACAGAGCAAATGCATAAATTGTAACCCTGTGAAGCTATTGAAGAACCATCCCAGATTAAGAAAACTACACATTATTACAAATATTTAATTAAATTAAGACTGTGTTAAATGAAAGTCTGTGCAAATATTTGTATAGGTTTTTATTACACATACAATTGTCATTTATCAAATACGTTTATTTGTGCTCGATAATTATTAAGTAGACAATAACAATTTTAACAAATAATGTGGAATTCGGTTTAGCAAACTGCGTTTCGAGGCTCGAATTTGTGCTGCATCTAATTGATTTCAATAAACATGCGAATTAAATGTATCCTTAAGCTATAAACATAGAATATTCAATATTTTAGGTGTTAGTACGACTAAAACAAAGCGATTTTTATTTTTCAACAAATAAAAATTGTACAATTCGTATTGTGCGGCTAATCTAATTGTGGATTGTGCGATCGTTCCGACCGAATCGAATCCGATTCACATTTGTGAATGAGACGAATACGAATACGAATGTGAATAAGCATCTGCATACAATACACACGTACAACAACAAGGATGTGGATTACCCCAAAGCGAATAAGGGGTGAGGGCGGGATACGCGGATTAGTTATCTTAGAAGTCATACGAGTTGGCCTCATCGTCGCCCTTGCGCACCTTAAAGACGAGCCTGTAGATAATCGCGGCCACAATGCCGCCCGCAATGGGGCCCGCCCAGTAGACCCAGTGATTGGCCCACATGCCCTGGATAACGGAGGGCCCGAAGGAGCGTGCTGGGTTCATGCTGGCGCCAGTGAGCTTAATCTGAGGAAACACAATCAAAAGTTATATTTGCATGGGATCGGATCAATCAGCTGCTGCTCGTTTCATTTACCGCACACAGATGACCAGCGGCAATGGAGAGGCCTACGGCCAGGGGTGCGGAGCCCTTGATGTCCTGGCGACCTGGGTCCGACACAGCCTTGACCACGAACACCAGAATGAAGGTGATCAGTGCCTCGATCAGCACCACCTGGCCGACATTCAGCGATTCGTCATAGGTAGAAACGCCCAGTCCATTGGTGGGCAGTCCATTGAGAGCCACCCGGATGACAGCCGCCCCGGCAATGGCGCCCACGCACTGCACAATGATGTAGAAGGCAGCCTTCAGGATGCTCATCTCGCCGACGATCAGGAAGCCGATTGTTACAGCCGGGTTGATGTGGCATCCGCTGATGTGGCCCAGGCCCTGTAACGATTCAGAAAACATGGAAGATTCATGGTAAACAAACTCAGTTGAGGGCAGTTTTCTAAATCAAGTTTACTTCACTTATGCAATAGCTACCCTCGCAGCTTTGCATATTAATTAGACCGTTATTTTAAATAGCGCCCTACTTTGCGATTCTCATGACAAGATTTCCAGATGCTTTCATGCTTTCAAGTGACATATCAACAAATAACATTGGCAATCTAATGAGTCTTAGTTCCAGTCATACGTTCACTTTTGTTTACCCCTTAATTCTCTGTCTCTTTCAGACTCTATATTTCTGTCTCCCCTGCTCCTGTTATTACTTTAGCCCGCTCTCGAAATCTTTTGTTCTTTCTGCGATGTCAATATACGCACAAGAGTTTGTCATCCTCCTAATAATAATAAAATAATCGTGCGTGAGGTGTATGCGAATTTCAACATATATGTATATATAAATAAGAAATATTTAAATGCCATTCGGACCTGACACGGTTTTGTTTATAAACACAAACAATGCACGTATTTAATGAAATCTTTATTATAGCCAATTGTAGTAAATGGACAAGATGAGATTGTAAACAACAACATCGCCAAATGAAATCTGTTAATTACATTCTTGAACGGGGTCATAAATGTTGCGGCTGGAAATCAAGTTCAGCTCGTATTTAAATCATTTCTATACTATATATAATAATGTTAACTGTCATGGAGATAATAAATCTCGAAGCATTCATCAGCACGTCTCCATTGTCGATCGGAGGATGCGCTTGGATACAAGAAATAGTGGGAATCCATGGAAATCACACATAATTTCAGATTGTTTCTCAGATAGAGTTTCATTCGATCTCAGCCAGATCTCAGCCAGATCTCAGCCATCAAATGTCAGGTTTTCGGCTAGCTTCGCACTTGACGTCATCGCCGTTTGGCAAGTGAGACGCGTTTCTGGGTTGGGTAATGTTTACCCTTTTGGCCATGGCGTCTGCATTTTGGCTATTACACAATGCTCGCAGTCGCAGTCGCCGTCGCATTTGTTGTCTGAGCGGATACAAGCAATTTGTCAGAGCTGAGATGCAGTCGAGTGTAGTCGCAGCCAAAGACTATTCCCATTCCCATCTCACTGGATCGATGCCGTTGGCTTTAAAGTTCAAGCCTGGGGGTTGGATCAACGACTGCGACTGCGACTGAGACTTCGACTGCGACTGAAAGTAAAAGTGTTTCGCATTCTGTTGAGTCATCAGTCAGTCAGTTAGTCAGTCAAGTGGTTTGCTTAGAACCGAATTCAGCAATCAAATAAAACAAATTGCCACTCTGGCGGCGAGTGAGTACTCACACTCGAACTAATAGCACTCGCACTCGCACTCGCATTCGCACTCGTGTTATGAATGAAAACGCACCACGTCGAAACGCGTCGAAACGCGTCGAAACGCGTCGAAGCTGGGCCGCCGGAGGCCGACCAAGGCCGATGTGCAGGCTTCTATGTAGCCCCATATCTTAAGCTGATTTCGATGCGGTTCGCTTCGATTTGGATGTGGATTTCGATTTCGATTTCGATTTTGGATTCGGGCTGGCTTCGGCTTTGCTTTGGCTCTAGTCAAGTGCACACATGGCCAATGTCGGGTGTCTGCGTTTAATTAATAAATGCGCCAGCGGCGACAACTGGAGGCGATTGGAGGCGATTGGAGGCTGAGGTGGCCATTGGCAATTGGCCACTCGCTGCTCCACGGCGCTAATTACAGCGCCAGAGCAAAGAGCAAGTTCAAGCCGAACAGAACAGTTCGAACAGTTTTAGATACAGATGCAATCTGTGAGCTACGCCCGGCAATTTACCTGCATCGCCAGCTTGGAGCTTGGAGCTTGGCATTTGGCGTACGCACGCATTGCAATTAATTTGATGGTTCTTCTCTGCATTCAAATGTGCTTTTGTTGCACTGTGGCAGGTGAATGTTGCGCTGTGTGTGAATAATATGCGCTGCCAGTCGCACCTAATCATCAAGAGCGATGACGGCGATGACGGCCCACAAATACTGTGGCCGCCACATCGATCAGATCGGCTTTTAGAACGCAACTCGCTTGTTTACTCACTTGCGACCTGCGACTGACTCATGATGTTTTCGATTCGCAGCAAGCGACTCGCGACTCGCCACTCGCCTTTTGCCACTTGCCACTTGCCACTCGATGGGGCACACAAAGCTATCATTAACTAATATGATTTACGTATGCGCCAAGAACATGCGTCAAATGCGTGAGAATGCAAATGCAATCTGTCTGCACTTGGGGGAACAAAAGCTACCAAAAGTACTTTATGGGGCAAATGGGAGAGCAGACTGAAAGGAAATTCTTCAAAATATCCCTAGGTATATTTTAGGCAAGATCAGCTGATGCTAATGTACCTGTATATATTTATTCTACGATATTCAATTTGTATTCCTTAATTGTGAAAAGATCTTTCTATAAACTAACTTATTGCTTTTTTTTTTTTTTTAATAACAAAGAGACCTCTGATAATTGTCAAGTTTTCCATAATGCTAATATTAAATATAATGTTTTTTTCTGGGTGTAGCTCTGATTTTCTTAGGGATTAGTCCTAAGATAGCTACCGAGGCTATTTTCTATATTTCTATTTATTAATGGTCGACAACCTAAGTATTTAATACGTTATTACAGTAAAATTAAAAGCCTAATCAGAATACAAAAATTTCTATTCGCATCACAGATATGATGAAGGTATTTTATTTGCCCGTCCGGGCAGCTATGTCCCCTTTCACAGCTAATATTTTCCACCAATTGTGTCAGCTAATGTACAAATTTAATTTTAATTTTAATAATTATAAGATATTGAATAAATAGTTCTCCTTAAACATTTCAGAACCTGTTCTTTGCATATGCGAATAATTATTAAATCATAACTAATTATAATTATTGTTATGAATTATTAATAGAAATTATTTTCCTAAACTCTAGAAAACCACCAAAAAATAAAACATACTACTTCAAATCTTTCTAGATATCTGTAGAAAATATTTATAAAACGAAGAAAATGTTAAGACTTAAAGCAAATTCTCGAACCCTAGACAAACTTATATAAGAGAATAACTGATAAAGTCTTGAGAAATATACTTGAGTTAGTTCAATGTCGTTAGAGATCGAACAAAAGCTATTATTGTTTGTATTATAATGTGTGTAGGATTTATATATATTTCTAAATAACTACTGAGATTCAAATCAGAAAGCAACTAAACGTTGCCCCATATACAACTTGATGTTCCTAAGGGGTTATAAATAAATGGTGGGGTTAAAGCGGGCTCGATCTATATTTAAAAGTAAGCTCAAAATAGGTTCGTTCTCTTCCACTAAATTGATTGTAGCTGTCTCTGCCTCTGCCTCTGTCTCTGTCTCTGTCTCTGTCTCTGTCTCTGTCTAACGCTGTTCAGTTCGAGTTGTCGCAGCTGGATCCATGGTAGAGATATAGAGATCGAGATAACGATCGCATAGATCGAGGCTTACGCATGCGCAGCCGCGGCGCACGAATGTCTGCGCGTATTTCTCTTGTTCTTATTGTTGTTGTTGTTTGTTTAGTTGTCGTTGTTGTTGTTGTGCGACATTTGCGCTTAAATCATATTTTATGGCTTTTTAGTTAAATTGAATGTTAACTTGTTTGTTTCGTTCTGCTTTTCTGCAACTGCAACTGCTTCTCTTGTTGTTGTTGCAGTTCTTGTTGTTGTTGTTGTTGTTGTTGTTGGTGATTGTTGCTGTGCGTTTCAAGTTCGTTTTAGCCAAAAGCCGAGCATTGGCCCAAAGCGAGGCGCTTTAGGCTCGAGCTGCGGCTGCGGCTGCGTCTGTTAGTTGTTGACTTTGCCATTTTGGTTTATTTCGGTTCAGTTTTTGCGGGTCGTTTGATTTCTGAATTGAAAAACGTGAATGGTGCACGCACAATTTTTTAGTCCATGTTGTTATTGCCTTTGCTCGCATAATTAACACACACGCACACACACACACAGACGCACTGCCTTTTTTATTGATCTTGCATGTTGCACCTTGATTGGCGCTGGAGGTTTTTTCGACTTTGACTTCGAGTTGGACATTTCGCATTGGCCTTTCAATCTTTTGACTAAGATTGGGAAGTCATCTTTTTTGAGGCCTGCAGCATGTTCTATTCCCCACATATTGTGTGTGTGTCGCCTAATAATAGCCGTAAATCAAAGAGCCAATCCCTAATTGCGAGCCGTGCATCTGATTAAGCTCAGCAACAGCAACTGCCGGCACTCGAAATTTATGATTATTTCTTGGCGTTCGTTTGGCGTCTTGGCCCGCATCAAAATCAACGTTGGAATTTTCCCCATCTGCCTTACTTATATAACATGCACATAGCATATATATATATATATATATATATATGTATATTTATATGGAAATACGAGTAATTGCGATTAAAATCAAATGTTTTAGCGTCGGCAAATCGACGCATGTTTGCATTTCTATGGCTTGTTGTTGTTGCGCTATTATTGTGCGCTATTGTTGTGCTTATAGTACTTAATATTATTGCTATTTGCATTTTCTTTCTGCCCCACTTCCTTTTGGCAGCCTGTCAAACGAGCGTCTCAGACAAAGCAATGCAAACTGCATACAAATGCCGCTCTTCTTGTTATTGTTGTTGTTGGCTCTGACAGGTTCATTCGATGATATCGCCTGCTATTTGCAGAGTATGGGGTGTATTCGCTGTGTGGATCACAGATCTTATTCTTAAAACTGGATATTCAAATTAAATACATTTTTTGTCAATTTCTCTATTTATCTGATATTCGCCTTTGCATTAAACTTTTGACTTGAACAGCTGTAAAGAAAAACGGACAACATTGCTTGAGTTATCTCACGAAATAATAAAACCATTGGAGATCCCAGCTATTATTATTGGGATTTTAGGGGTTGCAACTGCCTAACAAAGGCGTGTGTCTAGGCTTCTTTTAATCCCAGCTATTTCCAGCAAGTGCACATTCTACACATATCTTGTACTGAGCGAGGGTTAGTCTGCACAGCATCCAACTATATTCTCTGCCTCATCAATTGCGGATATATACAAGTGATAATCAATAAATTTATTCATAGCAAAACCCACCAGACGGCTGCTCATTGGAGACACTAAATATCCCAAAGCTGAATATCCCAAATGCCCCAAGCAAAAGAAGGGGAACTTGACGAAAATTTAAATCAAATACATAAGCCAGACAATAGCTCTTATTAAAATACCTAGAAGTTGTTTCATTAGCAAAGAATCTTTGGTACAACTTTCGGTGTAAATATTTTCAGATTCTCAGATTGGTTGTTAATAAGTTTTTCCTATGCAAGAACAGCAACAGGTGACTAAGTATGCCGGAACAGCTGTAAGTATATTATTCGAAATTGTGTTTCCTTTGCACAGAGGGCAATAAATGGTAAACTGGCAATTAGCACGTTTCTCATTTGTTGCGGGTAAGTAAAAAAAAGTGATTGAACCTGCTGAAAATTGTCGTCATAGTGCTGGGCATATTGGGAAATCGGTCGACCGCAGAGCACAGTAGACCGAAACGGAGTCTCGTGCCACACGTCATTGTTGCAAGTGCAACTGCAACTAATTGCCGAAATGCTGATCGGTTTTCGTAACACTCGAACGTGCCACAGACTCGTGTCCGCCATGACTCGTGACTGTCTTTCACCAGTCGCTCGCCTGCATTGGCCAATCGAAGCTAATTTGTTACTAATCGCTGATGATACCGCCATTCGGCGAAAGTGTGGAAATCTAGCTGCATTGTCGAAGATGCATTCGTGTGGCGATCAATTACCTGCCAGCATTTGCTGTGGACCCACGTGTCTGGTTTATGCGCAGCAGCCTATCGTGATGTCTGCCATAACGCGACTTCGCCAAAGCCCAAGCAGTCGACTTTGCTTAAACATGAATATGCTATAAAATAAGTTTGGCAATGTTTAAAATTTCAGTCAGCATTTCCCTTCTTAGCTAAAATATAACAAGTTGGTTAAAGTCTTCGATATTAACTTTCACTTGTTGATTTCCTTGCTATTCGATCATGTTCTCTTATATTTCTTTTTAGGGAAATTTTATAAAATGTCTTTATTTGGATTCTCTCCACATTTGAGCCTAATTGCAATTGTCAATGGCCAATTGAATAAACTGAATTAGACTTCACTTTGCTGTTAATTAACAGAACCTATCACCTGGATCAATGATTAATTACAAACCTTCAACTCAATCCAACTCTGGTTATTAATTAAGCTATTGCGAATCGATCGAAGATCTTTTCGGGCTGAGATCAGACAGAGAACAACCGTCTCGACCAGTTTAATGGGGGGGATGCGTATTGCCTGGGGCACAGTTTTGTTATATGTTGTCGTAAATTTAATTCAAAATCGAGCAGCGTTTAAAATTCAAAAAACAACAACAGCAACAAGAACAACAAGAGCAAGAACAACATGAAAAGGCATAACGTAATTAAACGCATAATAATCTAATTGCATATTTTGCGTGTTGATTAATGTTAATTGCCGACGCAGACGCTTTTGCAGCGAGTGCGCATTTATTATTCACATTCACATTCGCATTCGCATTCGTACTCGTACTCGTATTTGGACTCAAAATCGTGGCGCGTTACTCATACGCAGCGTGCGCCGCCGCTAATGACCACAGCTGAATCTGTCTATAGCTGTGTATCTGTGTATCTGTGTATCTGCAGCTCGAGCTCGAATTGTATCTGAATGCGTTGTGTGTGCGTCTGTAAATCTGTCGGTCTTGTAAATAACATTCGCACGCAGCCAACGCGACGACTGCGCCGCATTCGATTGCCGTTTTTATGCGTTTGTCGTTTGTGGTCGGCTTTTAAATGCCAATGTCTTGCCCAAAACGCGAGTGCAATTGCCAGTGGCTGCGATCTGTGAATGAGTTTTGGCCCGGCCGAAAGTGTAACGCGGCGGTGGCGTGTCCTTGAACGCATGATTTGCTATTTCTATTGACCAGCTCGAGAGCTCGAGAGCTCGATACTCGCAATGTATATATTGGCCCAATCTCGATGTCGAGCCCAGCTCTGATGGCAATCTGAGTGTCAGTCTCAGCCTAAGTCTAAGCAGAGGGTTGTGGCTGTAGTTAGTTACCTGGGCCAGCGTGGCCACCGTCAAGCCAAAGGTGAACGCTATCTGCGGCACTGTCGCACTTCCGGTCGCCGTGCTGCCAACGCCAATCGCGATCAAGAAAAATGTGCCGAACAGCTCGCCGAGCAGCATGCGCCAGATGTTCTTGTTCTCGGTGATGTCGGCAACGCCAACGATTTTCGACATGTCTGCAATGGAAAACGCACAAGGCATTAATAATAATGCATTGACTGGAGCTCTAATTAATTATTAAATTACTCATGCATCGACAAGCATAATCAATCAGAAATCAGAAATCAGCAATAAGTTAGCAAAAAGGAAATCAATTTCCAGTCTTGGCTTTCAGTTCGAATTTCGTTAAGGAGAACTCTAAAACTATATCAATTTAAATATTTCATTCTTAATAATTAGAATTTATTAATTGCCTAGAATATATGTAAGCAAGCTCGTGCTCTCTGAAGCTTAGACCTTGAACAAACAGTTGGTTTTTTTTTTTCGTTGTCTCGCATTCACAACTTTAGAACTTTGTTTAATTTCCTTAACATTAATTTAAGTACTCAGTACTCTTAAACACATTAGCGCTGCTTAGCCATAATCGGGTATGGGAACATATTTGAGATGGGAACAGTTTGTAAGACTTTAACGATTGTTGCGTTGGAAACATAAACAAAGACGCAAAATGTTTATGTGCCTTAGCTCGGGGAGCAATTACTATAATTAAATTCTTTTGGACTGCAAAAGCGCTATCTCAAAAATATAAAACAAAGGGAAGCAGCAGAAGTTGAACTTGATACGATATTGCGCAAGTCTGGAGAATAGATAGTCAAATATCTTGAAAACCCAAAGAGAAGTATTTCGTTCTTTGAGAGACTAGTGTAAGCGTGTAAGATTCATCAGAGTGCGCAGCTAATAAGTGAAAAAGGAAGATGACACCTTAAAAATATATATTTTATCTAAGCGACATCAACGACATCAACTAGCCCATGCATTAGCAATAAGCTAAGATCACAGACTTAACCTGGTTCTCGCACTAGTCTCCAAACATGGCTTGACATATGTATGTATATATCAACTCGGCTGTTGATATAAATATATATATATATATATATAAATATGTGGTTAGAACTCACTTTCCTTACAGCCAGGCATATTGGCAGCTATGCAAGTCCCGCGGCGTTGTAGTCACAAAAAATATTATTTTAAGAGCGCGTCCGTTTAGTAATACTTTCCCGTACGAATATGACAAATTTCCTAGACATGCTCTTCTCGTTTTATGTTCTTCTCTGTCTTTTAGTACTGTTAGTGAACACTCAACAGGGAAAATACTAAACTTAACGCTACACAACACTCTCGGGCCATGCTCGGCAGAGACAAGTGGCACAGCAATATTGAGTAACAGTAGCTTCTGTCAAATTCTCTCTGTATATTACTGATACTTAATCGTTAATATTCAAAGCAAATAATAACAATAATTAGTAGGATATACGACATATATAAGTATATGCATATATATATATATATGGGGGATGTTTTCTGGCTTCCCTTCGGTTGTCGTGTGAAAACTCATGTGCTGCCAGATTTCGTAGTCCATTGATAATTTCACACCGTTTGATTAATTAATTAGCTCGATCGCACTCGGCACATTATTTCCTCATTTGCTCGACGATGTTTACGTGTGGCTGTTCCTTCATTCATTGGCGTTTGTTTAAGGCCAATGCTAATCAGCAGGTGTCAATTAATTTGTTTAAACAAATAATATTGACGCCTCATTTGCAATTACAATGTAAATGAATTGAGCAGCACTTAAGTGCGCCCAATGCGGGCACACTTAAGTCGAGTTATTTTACTACTCTCCACAATATGGAACGGGAAATAAATGAAATGCTCAAAGCATCTTTCATAACCGATTTATTGTCTGCTCCGGGGTGCTAATTGTCCAGTAATTAGGTATTTGTATTCAACGAAGCTTTTTGGCAAAAATTACCCAATTATCCAAATTAGCACGTTCCCATTGGCATGCCTAAGGGCCCGACGGGAATTGCCTGTCGCTAGTGCAGTTACTACTTATTTCTACTTAACGAAGCTTTTTGCCAAAAATGTCCCAACTATCCAAATTAGCACGTTCCCCGCGCTTCTTTCAATTCCTATCAGTAAGCCCATATCTATATGAAGGAGTTCACTTTATATACATACATATATTTATTTTGATTCTTCTCAACTCGAACTGCTTGTCGCCTCGTCTTACGCAACTTGAGGCCAGGGTCGTAAAAATGCTCGTAATCCGCATGTAAATAGCCAGAATGCTTATCAAATTGCCCACTTTTGGCAGCCCAGTCACTTGGCTAAGTGTTCCCTGCTCTGATAAGCGATGTTATCAACCAGTCCGCACACTTCACTTAATACGACAATTATCTCGCCTTTTGCTCACGCCTCCATGACACGACGATAACGAGCATGGCATAGCGCCATTTGTGCGGGGGAAGGGGGGGCTGTACAAACAATAATAAAAATAACCTAGTCCGAGCTGCTTACCAGAAAAACAGTTAACACGGCAGTTGGCAGTTGGCAGTTGGCAGTTGGCATTTGGCTGTTTGTTTGCCCGACAGCTCAACCAGTGCAACTCCCTAAGACGCATCGTAAAACAATTGGCAACGTGCCTCGAGCTTACAAAAACAACAACAAAACTCACAAAAGTGCCAGAGTCGCGAGTGCTCGACTAGCAGATACCCTAGAATCAGGTTCTAGGCATTTAAGATACTCGATTTCGGGGGGAATGGGGGGAATTATGCTAGAAGTGAAATTTTGTATACTCTACTAAAAACCTGCATTCCAAGTAATCTGTATCTAGTTCCTTTTTTCAAAATCTATATTTATCAACATTGTTGGATCAAGATCAAGAATATATACACTTTATGGGCTAAAAGAGGCTTCCTCCTGCCTGTTACATGCATTAACACAAAACCATTATACCCTTTACAGCCGTTTGCAATGAGTGCAGGGTATACTGACAATGGAAACGCTTGACTCACAGTTCATTCAGATTCATTGGGCATGTGACGGACATATCGCATTGCAATCCTATATGAGAATCGTTGCGGCATACAGAAGATTAGAATGCAGCGGAACGTGCTCGGAATACGAAATCTGATTAGATGTAATCGCTGTGGGATGGGAAATTGCAAATAGGAAGGTGGGAAACTAAGCTAAATTAATCAAAGTCAATCAAAGTTGCGATAAAAGTCCCTATCATTTGAATTTTGAATAGACATGAAAAACTAAAAATGAAATATTATTGGAATACATAAGCGGCTAGGAATTATAACTAGTTCGAGTGCAGAGAAGACTTGTAAATCCCTGCTTCCACTTTTTAAGGTCACAATAAATTCAAACTTTAAATCCGTTTTCTGGCATAGCTAAGTGCTAAACCTGCTATGTAATTAACCTATTTATTTGATTCTTAAACCTGTCTTCGAATCATATTTATATCAAAATGCAATTATCATGTGATCAAAATTGTTGCTGTTCTGCACAGTCGCTCGACACCCACAGATGATGGAAAATATTTAGATTCAAATCGAGATCGAGCTTGAGATTGAGATTGAGATTGAAGTGGAAACAATCATAAATAATTTTCAAAGAAACGAGATCAGCTTGTTGACAAGCATCGCAATCTAAGACTGCAATTAGCATAAGCCAAAATTTATGGTTTATTTGCATTGGACATTTGTTCGATTCGCGCTCTGCTCATTGTATGCTAAGCGACGACTGCCACAGCTCGATTTGTTTATGCAAATCGAGAAGTGGTTGCTGTCGTTGCTGTGGCTGCTGCGGCTGCTGCGGCTGCCGCCGCCGGTGGCAACAATAACAAATCAGCAGCAAATCGAACGGCTGCGAGGCAGGCGGCTAAATGTGAGACTCGAAAACAAGTGCTGTTAATGTGTGCGACAATCAATCAGTCAGTCAGTCAATCAATCAATCAATCATTCCACGCTATATTAATGCAATGCAGCGCATCATTTATAGCTCCATCCATAACGGCGCCTGATCGCACCAAAGCTTGTTGATTAATCATTTCGCGAAGCTCCCAGAATCACAGCTCAAGTTCAATGAAACCTTAGCAGCCCGTTTGTGTGGTTCGACTCGAACTTCCAAATGAAAATCGAAATCGAAAACGAAATTAAAATTAAAATCAAAATGGAAATGGAAATGAATATAAAAATGCACTTGAGTTGAAACACGGCTAATTGTTGTGGTTGCCCTTGTCCATGTCACTTTTTACGGGAGTCTCCGCTAATATATTTCCCTTTTTTATTAGCAGCGCAATTATTTGAATGATTGCGCAAATAGCGACTGCTGCTATATTTAGACCAAGCACATGTCGCCGTTGTCGATGGGCTCGTCGAGGCTTAAATTCCTCGAGCTTTTATTACCCCGAACTGACTGAATCACAATTTATAATTGATGGCTTCAAATTCACATGCTTTGGGCCCTAATCTGGCCCGTGGCCATATTGGTAGCCATTGCCTGATAAGCTAATAACAATAAATATTCCCAATTATGAAAAACGTTTCGTCTGAGTCTGCTAAGCTGGCTAAAAGTACTAAAAATAAAAGAAATCTTTGTCGCAATCGATAATCGTGAATAGCTCTTCATTTTATTACGTAACCAATTTAGAATATCTCTTAATTATAAAAATCCCTTATATTCTTGCATACATAATTTATGAAACAGAATAATATCCTAAAATTCGAAAAAAAGCAGCCAAGTTCGGAACCTTTGTTGTTATCAAATCCGAATTTCCTTAATTGTTATTGCTAAGCACAAAACTGATATATATTAGATGTAATCAGTCCGAAAATAGGTCAACTTAAGAAAAGGGGAAAAGACAATATTTATAGTATTTATTGCATTTACCAGTTAGTTCAAATAGGTAGCTTAGCCCCGTTTATGACTGCGTTTAAATAGGCCACATTCAACTTTGGCTACCATTCGCATAATATTCATAAAGATACGCAGCCAATTGTTGCTACTCGGCAACTTTATCAGAACTAACTGAATTCAAAAGTCCACTTCTGTGGCTTTTCTTATCAACTTGGCTCAGACGACGTCTGGCCTAATCTAAATTGCCGTTGCATTATGGCCAATTTGTTTATTGGGCGCGATGACAAGGAATAAAGAGAGAGGGAGG